TTGGCATAGAGGAGTGAGTGCCTTCAGTACCACCTCACTTTCTTGAAAGATTTCAATTTTTATTCCATCAATTCCTGGTGCCTTATTCTTTGTCAATTCCTTCAATGCACCTTGGACTTCCTCCTTCAGTATCATTGGCTCTTGATCATATGCTGCCTCTTGAAATGGTTGAACATCAACCATTTCCTTTTGGTACAGTGACTCTGTGTATTCCTTCCATCTTCTTTTGATGCTTTCTGCATCATTCAATAATTTGCCCAGAGAATCCTTCAATAGCTAAAGTCAAGGCTTGAATTTTTGCTTCCATTCCCCCAGCTTGAGAAATGCTGTGCGTGTTCTTCCCTTTTGATTTTCTGACTCCAGATCTTTGCACATTTCGTTATAATATTTGACTTTGTCGTCTCGAGCTTACCTTTAAAAATTTCTGTTCAGCTCTTGTACCTCATTTCTTCCATTTGCTTTAGCATCTCTACACTAGAGAGCAAGTTTCAGTGTCTCTTCTGACATCCATTTTGATCTTTCCTTCTTTCTTGTCTTCATAATGACTTTTTGCTTTCTTCTTGTATGATGTTTTTGATGAAGACCACAACTCTTCTGGTCTTTGGTTTTTAGTGTTTAATGTATCAGATCTGTTCTTTAGATGATCTCTAATTTCAGGTGGGATATATTTAAGGTCATATTTTTGGCTCTTGTGGATTTGTTTTCATTTTCTTCAGCTTCAGTTTGAATTTTCATATGAGCAGTTGATGGTCTGTTCCACAATCTGCCCCTGGCCTTGTTTTGACTGATGATATGGAGCTTTTCCACCATCTCTTTCTACAGATGTAGTCAATTTGATTTCTGTGTATTTGAAATGAACAAATTATTTGTTTTGCAGAATTCTGTCATGTGCTCTCCAGCATCATTTCTATCACCAAAGCCAACTATTGATCCTTCCTCTTTGTTTCCAACCATTGCATACCAATCACCACTAATGATCAATACATCTTAATTGCATGCTTGATCAATTTCAGATAGAAGAAGTTGGCAGAATTCTTCTATTTCATCCTCACTGGCTTTATTGGTTGTTGTGTAAATTTGAATAATAGTGGTATATGAACCAGTCCTTCCTGTAGGTAAATGGATATTATCATATCACAGACAGCATTGTACCTCATGACTGATCTTGATATGTTCTTTTTGATGATGAATGCAATACCATTCCTCTTCAATTTGTCATTCCCAGCATAGTAAACCATGTGGTTGTCAAATTCAAAATGTAACCAATACCAGTCCATTTCAGATCACTAATGCCTAAGATATTGATGTTTATGCATTCCATTTCATTTTTGACAATTTCCAGTTTTCCTAAATTCATACTTTGTACATTCCATGTTCCAATTATTAATAGATGTTTACCGCTGTTTCTCTTAATTTTGAGTTGTATCGTATCAGCAAATGAAGGTCCTGAGGGCTTTACTCCCACAGTTTTACTCCATTCGTGTCATCATAGTCAACTCTACTTTGAGGAGGCAACTCTTCCCCAGTCATATTTTGAGTGCCTTCCAACCCAAGGGGCTCATTTTCCAGCACTATATCTGACAGTTTTTCTTTGCTCTTCATAAGGTTTTCAGTGACTAAATATTTGGAAGTAGTTCCTCTCTCCTTCTTCCTAGTCTGTCTTCATCTGGAAGATCATCTGAAATCTGTCCACCATTGGTGACCTTGCTGATATTTAAAATACCCGTGGCATAGCTTCCAGATCACTCTATGCTACCAGCGCCCCTTATATATATGTGTAGTATATATGTATTCGGGTGTTTTGAGCCAATAAAAATGTAGAAGAAATAGCAAAAGGCTTGCTCTAGGAAAAGAGTGATTTGAATTTAAATTCCTCCACTTACATTTGTACAATTCTGGGCAAGTTATTCAACTTCTACATGCTTTAGTTTCCTTGTCAGTAAAATGAAGATTATGATGGCATCTGCCTCAAAGTACCTTTGTAAATATTAAATGAGGTTTTATACATACATGCATATATACATATATACACATAGAGAGAGAGTGCTGGTGTGTCACTATAGGATAAGCAGTGGACCCCAAGGTTAGTTTGAACCAGAAGGTTGGTGGTTCAAGCTCACAAGCCACTCCTTGGAAACCCCATATGGTGTCACTATGAGTCGAAACTGACTTGAGGGCACTTGACAATAAATCCTTAGCAGGCAAATATCTGATCCATAAGAGGGACTGAGTTAATGCTAACTGGTTTTGTTTTTGTCATCATTCAGCTCTTAGCAAACGGTCACTCCTGATCCCTGATCTTCATGCTTAACTTTTATGTCTATAAGTTGAATCTCTTTAAAGACTGAAAGCAAAGTTTTCTTTCTGCACTGATCCTCAAGATAAATGCTTTCAGAATATGTAGCCTTTTGTAAAGTCTCTAACCATTCGTGTCTGTGAATCTTAACATACCCAGCCTGGGTGTCAAATATATTGGATTTATAAAAGATGATTGATAAATACAGTAAAAGTGTGTTTGAATGATAATGAGCTTTGACCACTGTCTTTCTAAGTCAAGCTACCCATGTCCTGATAAAACAACAAGAAGTGACTTTTTTTGCAACATTTTCTACATTCCTTTCAAATCCCCAATATCATTTGATCCTCAGGGAAACCTGAGAGGTATGTATTTTTAGTATACCTGTTGTATAGGTTTGTTGTTGTTGTTAAGTACTGTGGAGTCGATTCTGACTCATAGTGACCTTTCTGAGGCTATAAATCTTTACGAGAGCAGAACACCTCACCTTTCTCCCATGGAATGACTGGTAGTTTCGAACTGCTGACCTTGCGGTTGGCAGCCCGACTTGTAACCACTACGCTACCAGAGCTCCTTGCTGTATAGGTAGGAAACTCAAAACAGGTATGTAACTTGACCATGGTCAGAGAACCAATAAGTTTTGTGCCTTGACCCTTGAATGGAGGTCCTCAGAGACCAAATGCTAAGCTGTTACTTTTATAGCATAAAGACTTCCTCATGACCCTTGTGAGGAGGGATCTGGCCACACTCACTGCAGTCTGTCAGCACACTTTTTCCAACAGTCTTATGTTGGGTCTTCTCTCAGACACCACTTTCCCCTTTCAGAAATAAGAGCATCCTCAGCCTCCCTAAATGAAAAGACCCTAACAACTTTTTAGCAGAGTAGAGAACCTAGACCTTTGCCCATTGCATTCTCGCAAGTGCCTTTTGAACTTTCCATGTGAACTTGAGACACATGATAAGTTAACCCTCTTCTCCAGTTGGTGATTTATGGATAATTGGAGGTCAGTGGGGTCCTGGTATGGCACAGAAAGATCAGCACTGGACTGCTAACCATAATGTTGGCGATTCAAACCCACCAGCTGCTCCTCAGAAATCCTGTACATGGTCGCTGTGAGTTGGAACCAACTTGACAGCACTTAACAACAACAACAACAACATAACTAACACTTTTATTTGGGAAAATCAGTCCCAGTAACTGAAACGGAATCAGCTTCAGAATCAGACAAAACTGTTTTCAACTCCTTTTATAACCAGGACTAGCAGTGACATCTTGGATAAATTATATACCTACCTTTCTTAGCCTCAGCTTCCTCATGTGCACCTCATTAGACTGCAGAACTGATAGTGTAAACCATCTACTACAGTGCAAACACAGAAAAGGTCCCCACAAAAATTCTTCATTAGTCTCCTTTTCTGTGTCCTGGGTTGGTCTCTTAATACCACTTTGACCTTGGGCCCTTGGAGCCACAGTTAGGTAGTTCACCTGCCCTGTAAGAAGAAGCTGTGCAGAATCCACACATATAACTTACTTGAATATAGTTATCAAAATGTTGGCCCTCTGGAAAGTGAGGTTCAAAAGTTTATATCAGCTCTTTGTCTTATCTGAACTTGGAGCAGCTTTCCAGCTACAGCCCCTCATCCCCTGAAAATGTGCACCTGCACCAAATTCATCTGCACCCCTTCCCTGATCAGGAGCACCTCTCAGTGATACTGAAACCACCCCAGACACGGACAGATGAGTGCTCCAGCCGCTTGACAGCCCCACATTCCCTGACCTCACTTACTTCTAGTCGAAGCTTCCAAACCAGCACCATCTCAAGGGACATTGACACAGCAGCCAAGGTCATCAGGGCTAGGGCTGCCACAGTGGGAGGGGCTGGCTCTGGAGCTGGGATTGGAACTGTGGTTGGGAGCCTTATCATTGGTTATGCCAGGAACCCTTCTCTGAAGCAGCAGCTCTTCTACTACACTGTTCTGGGCTTTGCCCTCCCAGAGACCACGGGATCTTTTGTTTGATGGTGGCCTTTCTCATCCTCTTCGCCATGTGAAGGAGTCGTCTGCACTTCCCTAGTTCTTTTTTTCCATGTCTCATCTGCCCTACGTCTTCCTTTCCCTGTACCTCCCCAGGCAGCCTGGGGAAAGTCATTGGCTCAGGATTTGACAGAAGGAAGGTAACTAAATGCTGTATTAAAAAGAGAAAAAAAAAGTTTATATCAGGCACAGTAGGAGGAGGATGAAGCTAAATGCATTGTCATTTAAATTAATGCTCACATAAACAAAATTGTACCAGCTCCTGTTCTAGAAGACAGTGAATAGAGGTGAGCCAAAATCAGTAATCTATTATTGTAGTTACTACAGAGATAGGAAGCAGTAAGCCCTAAAGTGATGCTTAATATACATTTCTTGCTTTGTCCACCCCACAATCCTATGAGACAGGAATTTTTACCCACATTTTACAGACAAAGGAGCAGAGACTCAGATTAAGATGGCTCAGTCAAAGCCACTGGATAGAGCTGGGAACCAAGGGCTGTCATTGACAAAGTTACTGCTCGTCACTATGCCAAGCAGCCTTTCCATAGGAAATGTGTCTTTCTACCAGAACAAGGGAAGTCTCTTCATTAAAAGTTGAGCGATCTGCCTATGGAAGTGTCCCCCTTTGTATTCCAATGTTGACCTCTCTTTTCTTCCCTCTGCTTCCCAGTGGACTGTATGGATCCCACATGCTCAGGCCGGGGTGTGTGCGTGAGAGGTGAATGCCACTGCTCTGTCGGATGGGGAGGCACCAACTGCGAGACACCCAGAGCCACGTGCTTGGACCAGTGCTCAGGTCACGGAACCTTCCTCCCAGACACTGGACTTTGCAGCTGCGACCCCAGCTGGACTGGACACGATTGCTCTATTGGTAAATGTGGGGAGCAGAAGGGTGCAGCATGGATAATGGGGGGAGGTGTCAGTTTGTAATGTGTTCACCATTTCAGCCCTGATCAGTGATGAGACCTGTTCTTAATTGTGGCAGTACCTCTGGATGCATTGCTTTTTTCCTGAAACACTTTACCAGCAGCACCTCTACTCCTAGATGAGCAGAAGATTAAAATACTACATCCTCACATCATTCCTTTCATAAGGACATTGCTCTTTAATGCTGTGTGTTTGCCAAACACTCTCATCTCACATTAAGATGATGGTCTTCAGAAGCCAGGCCTATAAGAAACAATATATTCCTAGACAAGTTCTACAGGGGATGAGGTTTTAAAGGACACACACTCCACCCAACTAACCCTTTGATTTTACCCATCTCCTCAGAATGAAATCTAAACTCAGTATAATACTTAGAGTTTTCTATGATCTGGCCCCCACTTGATTGTTTGGTCAGATCCTCTACTAGACTGTAAGCATCATGATGGTAGCAAACATGCCTTATTCATCTCTGCATCCCCAGGTCACAGTATAGGCCTGATCCCTGATGAATGAATTAATGAGCAGATAATTCAATGTGTTCTTGATGGTTGTTACATTTGGTTCACCATATGATTTAATCATATAAGGTTCAAAGGACAGATATATTGTCACCTTTAAGTTTGTAAGCACTCTATGGTTTATAGACTACTCAGGATGAGAATTACTTAGAACCTATGTGAAGTACTTGTTGTTAAGTACCATGGACTCATAGTGACCCTGCACAGGGTTTCTAAGACTGCAAATCTTTACGGGAGCAGAGAGCCTCATCTTTCTCCCACAGAACGGATGGTAGTTTTGAACTGCCAACCTTGAGGTTAGCAGCCCAATTCTTAACCATTATGCTACCAGAGCTCCTTATGTGAAGTACTTAGTATTATTACATAGTAGATCATGGTATCATCCTGTTTTACAGTTTAGTTAATACTTTAATCAATGGATATTTATTGAGCACTCTTGTAATCATAGAGAATAAGGAGATAAACAAGTTAAGTCCTTACCTTTGTAGAATTTGCATTCTTATTGGAGGGGGCAGGCAGCAAACAAACTCAAACTCAGTTTTTTTTAATAATCTTGTCCAAGGACACACACATACACAACTAAAAAATGATAGCATCTCCAACTGTATTTTTACTTGAATATGTTTCCTAACCATTTCATACTGTTTGGAAAATAGTGAAGCTCTGATTATTGGCTCATTATGTTGTGTTTTAACAGTTCTTGTGTGATCAGGAAAGCTGGTTGAATCCTTTTGCAGGCCTGAGATCCTTGTAGCATTTATGCCTTTGAAATACGTTGAATTGTCTTTCCCCATTGGATGGAGAATTTATGTTTAGTTGACACTCTAAATTGGACTTTTATCCTTGTTTGCAATGCTCATGTAAAGACATGATTACAAGCATGGACATTCAGGGTCTCAGGAATAATTATTTTTATATAGCTCTGTTTATGGTGTTATAATAAATGGCCTCTTAAAGTTTTGCTGGCTTGTATTGTTCATGATGTAGCCACAGAGCTAATATATGATAGGTATATAGCTGTCCCTTGCATTGTTAATCCTTGAAGAAACTCCATGGCCTCAAAGGCAGGCAGGTATAACTTTGTGTAAGATTCCTCAGTATTCTTTACTGGCCCTATAGATGGAAACAGTAGAGCCATTAGAAGGCACTTTAGAATTGTGAGATCTGGTCCCCTTCAGTTCTTTGTACACTACTTTTCATAACTGGCATCAAAACTATACAGCCTAATGTGTGGTGACCAATCAGCACAACGTGGTGTCATGAGCTCCTGAGCCAGACAGACCTGGGATTAAATCTGTGCTCTGCTAATTGCTAGTTATGACTTTGGGCAAGTTCCTTAACCTCCCTCCCTCCCTCAGCTGTAAAATGAGGATAATAAAAGTACTTATTTCCGGGGTTTTCGCGAGTGTTGAATGAGGAGCTCTGGTGGGGCAATGGTGAAGAATTTGACTGTTAACACAGAGGTTGATGATTTGAAACCATCCAATGGCTCCATGGAAGAAAAACCTGGCAGTCTGCTTCTGTAAAGATTACAGCCAAGAATGACCAATGGGGATGGCTCTACACTGTGGGGTATATGTTGCCCACCAATGTTTTCAGCCTCTTAAGTTTCTTGGGAATCTTCTATCCCAGTTATTGTATGTGCCTTGTTGTTGTTTCTAAGTGCCATCAAGTCAGTTCAGTTCCATCTCATAGCAACTCCATATAGTGTTTCTGAGGCTGTACATCTCTGTGGGAGTAGAAAGCTTCATCTTTCTACCATGGAGCAGCTGGTGGGCTCAAACTGTGGACCTTGTGGTTGGCAATCCAGTTCTTATCATACAGAGTCAGAGCGATCCTGAGTATGTGCCTTGCATGAATCTGAAGAAACAAGCCTCTCTCCACCAATCCTACCATCAGAGTCCACTTGGGACATATGTGTCCCACATAATTGAATCAAAATCCACATTACTTTTTTTAAGTTTTTTGTTTTGTTTTGAATTTCAGCATGCCTTGCTTTACTGAAAAGACATGGCATCGAAAAAAAGTTCAAAGAGAAAATAATTCAGCCAGGAAAGGGTTAAGATAATGCAGCAGAAAAGCCTACTTGACTCATAATAAAGGTTCAAAACCTGTTAACTGTTGTTACAATTATGATTAAAACACACGTTTGTGATATCCCTGATAGACAAAGACATCATTGCCTCCCCTTACAATGGTAATGACAATTTGTATTTATCAAGGGTCTCACAGCGTACAAAGAAACATTTCACACAGAAATACAGACAGATATACACTCACATACACACCACAACACCATCCCTGTGAGGAAAGGATGCCAGGTGTGGTCATAGCCTAAGACAGCACACCATGATGCTCAGGGAGTTGCAGTGACTCCCTGGTGAGTGTTAAAGTTATGAGTCAAACCCTTGCCTAGGACTCCAGGTCTAGCCTGCTTCCTGTCATTCTCTACTGCCTCCCTAGAGAGCACTGTTTCTCCCCAGTTGTCACATCCCCTCTGGCAGCCATTTTTAAGGATAATGAAAGCACCTCAGCTGCTCTCTCTCCCCAACCCCTACTGTTTAGGCAGTACCTACCTGGGATCAATTCTGAGTCCACCACTTGCTGTGTGACCTTGGTAAGGTACTTAACTTTTCTAGACTTTAGTTTCCTTATGTGAGAAATACAGACAAGAATAGTACGTACCTCTGAGGGTTATATAACCTGTGTGCACACTTAGAACAGTGCCTGTCACAGAGTAAGCACTTGATGTCCTAGGGCACTTTCCCTGAGTGGCTGTTCATTTAGATCTGTCTTTTGTGGTGAAGCTAAGCAACAGCTGCCTTGTTGACTGAATGCCACAATAGCTCAGAGACTGTCTTGATGTTCAGAGCATTGGACTTTATGTAGGAGTACGTGCCCCACTTGTAGAATGACTTCAGCAAGTGGCTTGGTCATCCATTTTCCCTAAACTTAATTATTTTCACCTTGGGTACATTTACGTTATGGAATTGTTGTGAGGGCTAAATGAGAGAAGGTAAAGTGGTAACATGGTCTGGCACACTCAGACCCTCAGCAGTGGTAGCTCTGTTAGCATTTTTGTGACCTGCTGCCCAGAGCCTTACCATCAGGCACTGCGGGTCAGCAGCCACAAACCCAGTGATCTTTGAACCATCAGCGTTGACTCTGGGTTGTTGGACTGGGAAACACGTGCCCCTGCTGTCCACCTCCTCCTAGGATGAGTGTCTTGCTGTTTGGCACTGAGAACAGGATTTAATGAAAACAGCTTAAATCAACATGCCCTGTACTCAGCAACCAGCCATGTAATGAAATGTGAGCTGACAAGTTCCCTAGCACATTGGTTAGGTTTGTGGAAACAGTGAAGTCGGGTTTCATGCAAGTGTTTACTCAGGGCCCTGGTTTCTCAGCATCTTGACTTCCAGTCGCTTCTCAGAAAGTCTCCCTTAAATCTATGTTGCCTTCTTTCATGACACATCACACAAGAGAACTGTTTGAATAGATTCTGTGGCCCCAAAGACTTAACGTTATATGGACCCTACCCTTACCTCCATCCAGCACAGCTCTGTCCTCAATGCTAGTAGGCCCAGCTGGACGTGGTGACCTGAGCCATTTGGGTGGTAGAGTTAAGGGTGAATAATGCTGTTGTTTTATAGATGGGATAGAGTTGAAGAAGGGAAATGACTTGGCCAAAGTAGTTCAACTGACTAATCAGTGGCCAAGACTGAATTAACTCCAGGCCCATTCCTCCTGACAATCACAGGATGGAACATTAAGAGTTACCCATTAATTTATGCTCACCATGTTCCAAGCACTGAAATAAGTGTTTTACAACTACTATCTTAGTTAATGCTCATAACAACCCCTAGATGAGGAAACTGAGGCAACATTTCCCATTAATGGTAGGGCCCAGGTTCAAACCAGAAAGGACCCAAGTTTACTCATCAGCACACAGTATACTGTGCATGTATTATAACTATGTTCCTCACTGGCCAAACTGTGAACTCTATGAGGTCAGGGCCTATCTTTGTATCCTTAGCACAAGGTCACACATGAATGAGGTTCTCAGTAAGAATTGAATAGCTTAACCAGTCAATGGTCAGAGTGATAAAATGAGAACCCCCTGGGAGCACAGAAGAAGGAGGGGCTACAGCTGAAGACTGCTCTGGAAGGCTCTAGCACATTGTGAGATGGCCTAATGAATCTCTTCTTTCTCAGCACCGCACACACATACATCACACACACACTCTACAGGGCTAAAGTCAAACCCCCTGGGCTCCTTGTCACTTTCCAAAGTGGCTCATGTTAGTTTCATGTGCAGTGCCAGTGAGCCAGAACCCCTTCTGGACAAGGGCTGGCATCATTCACCTCCTCCAAGCCATCAACCCAGGGGGCAGCCCTGTTGTGCTGGATGCCTCATCAGCTTTTG